AGTCACCCTCTGTAGGCTTCACATTCCTTTTCTTTTTCTTTCTTTTTTCTTCCTTTTTATTTTGGTGATTGGATCTTGCTCTGTCACCTAGGCTGGAATGCAGTGGTATAATCTCAGCTTACTGCAACCTTCACCTTCTGGGCTCAGACAATCCTCCTACCTCAGCCTCCCAAGTAGCTGGGACCACAGGCGTGTGCCACAATGCCCAGCTAATTTTTGTATTTTTTGTAGAGATAGGGTTTTGCCATGTTACCCAGGCTGGTCTCGAACTCCTGAGCTCACGTAATCCACTTGCCTCGGCCTCCCAAAGTGCTGGGATTACAGGCGTGAGCCAGTGTGCCCAGCCCTTCAATATTCCTTTTCTATAAAAAAGGAAGCCTTGTCACGACCCGAAGGGTGGGGTATGAAAACTCGAATGACTCTAGGGACCTGGAGGGTTCTACCCATGAGGAAAGTGGGCCTGGCAAGGGCCATGCAAGCTGGGAAGCCCGGGTCCAGCACCTAGGGCAATCCACAGCTCCACTGAGGTTGTCTGAGGAGCACTGGAGTCGCAGGTTCTAGTCTCAGGGCTGCCAACTCTTCTGATTTTTTAGGAGACAGAAATCCAGATTATGTGAGCTCTCCTGAGTTTAAATGTTAGCAACTAATTAAAAATAATCACTGTGGGTGGGGGAGGCTGGGGGAGGGCAGCTGAAATATCTCAGGCAAGGGAAGGAAGGGGTTGTCCAACATTCATTACATTTGTCCATTAAGTGTTTTTTGAAGCCCTACTATGTGCCAGGTGCCAGGTGTAAGAAGATACAGTGGTTTATGAGACAAACATGTTTGTGCTCTTATAGAATTTACTTTCTAGAAGTGTTTAAGTCCAAGCCCTGGCCGGTCCTTAGAATATGTACACCTTTCTCCTTACTTTCTGGGGTAGGAGTCCCAAGAGGGCAGCCTGGCACGAGATTAAGATTCATACTTTCCGTACCCATCAGAATGGCAATAATAATAATGAAACATAAACAGAGTAGGCATTGGCAATGATGTGAGACCAATGGAGACCCTTCTATATTACTGGTGGGAATGTCAAATGGTGGAAAACAGCGTAGTAATTTCTCAAAAAGTTAAAGATAGAACTTTTATATGACCCAGTAATTCTACTCCTAGGTCTATACCCAAGGGAATTGAAAACAGGCTCAAACAAATACATGGAGGCACATGCGTGTTCATCCCGGTGTTATTTGCAATAGTCAAAATGAGGAAACAACCCAAATTTCCATCTACAGACAAATGGGTACATACATTGTGGAATATTCATACAATGGAATATTATTTGGCCACAAAAGGAATAAAGTACTAATATTTGCCACCATGTGGATGAAGCTTGGAAAACATTATGTTAAGTAAAAGAAGCCAGACATGGCCAGGCACAGTGGCTCACCCTGTAATCCCAGCCCTTTGGGAGGCCAAGGTGGTTGGATCAGCGGAGGTCAGGAGTTTGAGACCAGCCTGGCCAATGTGGCGAAACCCCATCTCTACTAAAAATACAAAAATTAGCCGGGCATGGTGGCGGGTGCCTGTAATCCCAGATACTTGTGAGGCTGAAGCAAGAGAATCTCTTGAACTGGGGAGGAGGGGATTGCAGTGAGCCGAGATTGTGCCACTGCACTCCAGCCTGGGTGACAAACACAAGACTCCGACTCAAAAAAAAAAAAAAATTAAGAAGCCAGACACAAAAAGTTACATACTGTTTTGTATGCTTCTATTTATATGAAATATTCTGAATAAATTAATCCATAGAGACAAAGAGCAGACTGGTGGTTGCCAGGGGCTAGGGGGATGGGTGAATGGGGATAATTGCTTAATGGGTGCCAAGTTTCCTTTTTCAGGGGTGATGGAAATGTTTAGGAGCTACTGAGAGGTAGTGGTTGTACAACACTGTGAATATACCAAATGCCGTGGACTGGTTCATTTTAAAATCATATAATTTTATAAAGTTATGTGAATTTCACCTCAATTAAAATATTTCCAAAATTTCAAACTATATAAAAGATTGCTATGCTAGAAAGAGTAAACAAATTATAATACATGCAAACAGTGGAATACTAAGCAGCCACTAAAAATTTAAGGACATTCTAATAACCTGGAAAATGCTACAATGTAATACTAAGCAAATGAGTAGGATACAAATAATCTATGTGCAGCATTATACCAATTATGTTAATTTAAAAGTGCATAGAAAAGACTACATAAAGATATATGAAAATATTGGTTATTGTTCCCTCAAAAGATTCATGCTTCCATTTTTTTGAACACCTACTAAGTGCCAGGGACAGTGAGTAAGGCAAATGAAGTGCCTTACAGCAGAGAACATGAGCCTGGAAGAAGGGCCATTGGTTTAGAGACAGCTGGGAGGTCAGCAGAGCAACATTCTTCTCTATTCTCTGCCCCAGAGTCCCTGGGTGACCCTTCCAGGCTTCAGTACTCCTCTCACACAAAGGGGAGTGTGACAGGTGCCCTCCCTGGGGAGCCATCCAGGCTTTTGATGTTTTTCTCAAGAAACATCTGTACGTAGGCCGAAGGCTACACATCCAGGATACTCCTGGCAATATTGCTTGCTGTAGTGCACGCCTAGAAACAACCTCAGTATTCATCCAGAGGAATGAGAATTAATATAGCGTGGTCACCTGCTGGGATATTCCACAGCAGCTGGAAGGAATGAATTAGGCCTCTATTTTCTATTTCTCATCCTGGATAGATTTTGACAACTTAATGATAAGAAGGGGGAAATATGCTCCTCTGCTATCCTCTTAGAATTGCAGAAAGCTCTCATAGTTAGATAGCATTTTTTTTTTTTTTTTTGAGATGGAGTTTTGCTCTTCTTGCTCAGGCTGGGGTGCAATAGCTCAATCTCGGCTCACTGCAACCTCTGCTTCCCAGGTATAAGCGATTCTACTGCCTCAGCCTCCCAAGTAGCTGGGATTACAGGCATGAGCAACTGCATAGATAGAATTTTTAAAGTACACAAAACAGTCCTACGTGTTGTTTATATGTATACATACACACACACAATCCTTTTTTTTCAAACAGAGTCTCACTCCATCGCCCAGGCTGGAGAGCAATGGTGTGATCTTGGCTCACTGCAACTTTTGCCTCCCAGGTTCAAGCGATTCTCTTGCCTCAGCCTCTGAGTGGCTGGGATTACAGGCGTGTGCCACCATGCCCAGCTAATTTTTGTATTTTTAGTAGCGGCAGGGTTTCACCATGTTGCCCAGGCTGGTCTTGAACTCCTGACCTTGTGATCCACCGGCCTCAGCCTCCCAAAGTGCTGGGATTACAGGCATGAGCCACTGTGCCTGGCCTACACAATACACTTTTAAAAGCACAACCTGGAAGGACTGTAATTCATGACAGCAGTTACCCCTAGGGAGGGAGGGAAACAGGACTGAGAGCCATACGAAGTGGGGAGACTTCAATATTTTCTGTTACTTTTAGTAAATTATTATTATTATTATTTTGGAGACAGTCTCCCTCTGTTGCCAGGCTGGAATGCAGTGGTGGGATCTGGGCTCCCTGCAAACTCCAACTCCCTAGTTTAAGTGATAGCGATTCTCCTGCCTCAGCCTCCTGAGTAGCTTGGATTATAAGGCACGCACCACCATGCCCAGCTAACTTTTTGTATTTTTAAATAGAGACGGGGTTTCACCACGTTGACCAGGATGGTCTCGATCTCTTGACCTCATGATCCATCCGCTTCGGCCTCCCAAAGTGCTGGGACTACAGGCATGAGCCACCGCGCCCGGCCCAGTACCTTTTATTTTTTAAAATAATCTCTCTCTGTTGCCCAGGGTGGAGTGCAATGGTGCAATCTTGGCTCACTGCAACCTCTGCCTCCCAGGTTCAAGTGATTCTCATGCCTCAGCTTCCCGAGTAGTTGGGATTACAGCTGCCCGCCACCATGCCTGGCTAATTTTTATACTTTTAGTAGAGGCGGGATTTCACCATGTTGGTCAGGCTGGTCTCAAACTCCTGACCTGAGGAGCTCTATCTGCCTCAGAGTCCCAAAAGGCTGGGGTTGCAGACATGGGTCACCCGGCCCGGGGTCTTCAGTACCCAATTAATCCTCTAAACAACCCTGTGAAGGAGGTGCTATTACTCTCCCCATCCTGCAGTAGTGAAAACGGAGGCAAAGGTCAAATCCTCCACCCCAGGCCCGACGGGCAGCTTGCGCCTAGAATCCGCCTCCCCTGACCACTAGCCTGTCTCTCACACGCCCCACCTCTCGCATACTCCAGTTTCTTGCAGCCTTGCAAGAAAGACTTCATAGCCCCGTTTTACAGATGAGGAAACGAATTCGGAGCGGGAGAATGACTCCTCCAACAAGGAGGAAAGTGACAGCTTTGGCCAGGAGGTTTGGGGGTTTGACCTGGACATGCTGTGGGAGGAGGGGCAGAGAGCCGACCAGCTGCAGCCGGCCTGGGTGTGGCTCGCACGTCACGCCTCCGCCCAGCTGCCCCCTTCCCCAAGCTGGCTGCCAACCCTGCGTGACCCGGCCCCCGCCGGGAACCGTAAGGGCCTTCCCCTCCCAGGCCCTGTGAAACCCCATCCCTTCCTTCTTGTTTTTTAAAATTTTTTATTTTTTTAAATAAATATGTATATATATATATATATATATATATATATATATATATATATTTTTTTTTTTTTTTCCCCCCCTCAGAAGGGGAACCTGGACGACACAGAGAAGTGGTGGATAAAGTCACTGCACCGGCCAGAGCGTCCCCTCCCCCGGGCATCCAGCAGTCCGCAGCAGTGCCGCCCCTCACCTGGGCACCCTCCACTTGCTGTCGACCCTTCACGCCACAGGCTACCCGCGGCTCCCCCGACGCCCCCGTCTCCCCTTGCTGCCCCCCAGCAGCACTCACATCCAGCCCTGTTCGGGACCCTAGGCTCCCTCCGCCGGCTGGGACCCCTCGAGGGCCGGGTGTCCCCGGTCCCTTGTGCGTGGCACTTACCTGGGCGCCCGCTCCCCCTCTCGCGGGCAGCCCGGATCCTCGCAGCTCGAACGCCCCCCCCAGCTCGGCAGTCCCCGGGGTTCCTGGGTGTCAGTGCCTGGAAACTGACTTTCTAGAACTAGAGGTGGGGGGCGGCGCTCCAAGGGGCTTTGGTGCCCCCGCGGGCTTTTCTCGCCCTGCACCGTCTAGGTCCCCTCCCACTCGCCTCTAAGCCTCTGATGTGCTCCCGGGCTGGTACCGGGGACGCGGTGGCGCCCGCAGGCCATCTGGGCGCCTTGGCCGCGCCCTGAGCTATGCTAACCCCGCCCCGCGTGTCCTAACGCCGCCCCGAAGACTCAGAAGCCAACCCGGGATCCTAACCCTCTCCTCTAGGGTCATAACCTCCGCCTCCTGCAAGCAGGATCCCAAACCTGCCACCAAGGAAAAATATAAAATAAAATTAACACCAACCATCGGAGGCTTCTAACGCGTCCACCAAGGATGCTAACGCCCCCTCCCCGCTCCACTCTCCCTCACACCTCCCCCAAGGCAGGTAATCCCACTGCCCAGCGTCCTACCCCGGTCTCCAACGGATCCAAATCCCGCCCCCAGGGATTCGAATCCTCCTGTCTAAAAACCCCAACACCTGCTCGCATGCTCCTAAGATCCGAACCCCGCCCGCCAAAGGATTTTAAACTTCCCTCCAAAGATTCTAATCCGCCCAACGAAAGGATTCGAACTCTCTCTTCAATGGATTCTAACCGTGCCTTAAAGATTTAAAACACTAACCCCAGGGCTCCTGCTCCTGCACGACCCCAACCTCCCTCCGCCTGAGAGTCTGAATGCCCAGGGGTCTATCCTGCCGGTCCAAAGATTCCAACCCTGACGTCCAGATCCTACCAAAGGATTCCTGCCACAGTCTTCCAGCCCCACCCTGGAAAGGTCTTACCCTACCCCGGAAATAATCATGATCCCTTTCTTCCACCACTCCAACCCCTGCCTTCTGGCCTGGCCCTCCCCAACGCCGCTGCCCGAGCCTTCTAGGCCCGTCTGTGGTCAGTGGTTTCCCTTCCTCAGGCCTACTCCATTCAGACTCCATGCAAAGTTCCTTTCTTGAAGGAACCACCCTGGCTTCTGGGCAGCTCAGAGGACTCCCAAGCTGGGGGAGGTGGTCGGGGAAGTGAGGAGTCCGGCTGGAGGGTGACTGGGGCCCTAAATGGATGAAATTGTGCCCAGCCCCAAGCAATGACAAAACGCACCCTCTCCTGGAAAAGACGGGGGCTATCACCCTAAATTCTGTCTAACGCACCTCCAAAATGTACAGGAATCCGACTGCATCTCTCTATTCCAGTTGCTACCAGCTGATCAGGGCCACCGTCATTTCTTCATTCGTTCATTTATTCATTCATTCATAATTCATTCAGCAATGTTGTGCTGGGGGCTGGGGAATGCAGGGCTTCTTGGCACTATTGACATTTGGGCCACGGGGCCTGTCCTGTGAATGACAGGATGTTGAACAGCATTCCTGGACTCTACCCGCCAGTTGCCTATAGCATCCTCCTCCCTAGTTATGACAACAAGATGTCTCCAGACATTTGTAAAGTGTCTCCTGGTGGGGAAGGGGGGAAGAACTATGAATGAGAAAGACAACTACCTTACTCATGTTTTTTGTATACATGCCTGTATGGGTCTTTCCCCCTCCTCTTTAGCCTACAGTGCTCAGTATTTTAAAGGGGTCTCCCATCCAAATACTAACCAGGCCTGATCCTGCTTAGCTTCTAAGATCAGACAGGATGAGATGTGTTCAGTGTGTTATGGCATAGATAACTTAAAAAAAAATAGAGATGGAGTCTTACTATATTGCCCAGGCTAGTCTTGAACTCCTGGGCTCAAGTGAACCTACTGCCTTGGCCTCTCAAAGTGCTGGGATTACAGGTACGAGCCATTGCACCCAGCCTATATGTGCTTTCTATAAAAACAGATAATGTTTTGAATGTATGTTTAATGTTATTCATTTTTGTACATTCCCTCCTGCCACCCCATCACTGTTGTTAATATCCAGCCATGTTGCCAAAGGTAGCAGCCAAACATGTAGTCACTGTTTACATCCTTCACATTTTCTTTATCCATCCTCCTAGTTGTGGACACCTAGATGGCACACAATTTCCCACTACTGTAAATAGAGCCACAGTGGGCATCCTCGAACACATCCCCAATGGTCCTACAATAGAATTTTGTAAGGACTTGCTTTGCCAAGAATGACAGATGCTTGCAGAATAACCGTTGTCCCCACTCTCTCTCCCATCATTTCCGCTTATCTTTACCAACCCTTGGTATTATCCACTGGTCTTAATTTGAGTTCGCCAGAAGCAGCCCCTGGACATGGATTCAAGTGAAATAGTTTATTTAGGAGATGCAGAAGGCACTGGTAGGGGAGGAGGCGGATGAGACAGGGAAGGGAGGAAAGCGAGTTAAAATGAGAATTACGAAGCCAGTTACCATTGTGGGTAATGGAGTGCAATTCTGCAGTGGATCTTTGGAGACATACCCACTTCAGAGTTACTGCAGGAGAGGGAGCTGGGGCACTTACACACCAACTCCTGTCGGACACCGGATGAGGGGTACTTCAGGGGTACTGATCCTCCAGCACTTTGGCCTCCACCATTATGCTTCAGCCACCAGAGGGTCTCCAAGAAGAGAAGTTCAGCTCTTACTAAAGGCCCAGGGCACATTAGAGGGTCACATTAGCATCAGCTACATCTCCTTCCAAAAGTTTGCCATTCTGATAGTAAAGAACCACAGAGAGCTGAAACACGCTCCTGTCCACGGACGGTTTCCCAAATGTTTTGCCCTTACATTAACACTGCAATTAAAATCCACGTGCATGTTCCCAGAGCTTCTGTCAACTTGATGGTGGCATCATTTCATGAATAAAATCTACCATCATAAATATTCAGCTTGATGAGTTTTGGCAAATATATATACTGGTATAACCACAACCCCAATCAAGATATAGAACATTTCTATCACCCCAAAAAGTTCCCTTAAGTCCTACTGCAGTCAACTCCTCCCAAACTTAAGTAGCCTTAGGTAACTACCCATTGGCTTTCGGCCATAATACGTTAGCTTTGTCTTTTCTAGAATTTCTCATAAATGCAGTCATACAGTATGTTTCTTTTGTGCTTGTCTTCTTTTGTTCACACATTGCTTTTCAGATTTTCCATGTTGTTGCACATTCTAGGAGTTTGTTCATTTTTACAGCTGAGTAGTCCTCCATGGTAGATGTACCACGATTTGTTTATCCATTTATTTGTGGAGAGACATTTGGGTTGTTTTCAATTTGAAGCTATATTCACTTACAAGTTTTTGTGTAAGCATTTTTTTTTTTTTTTAGATGAAGTTTCACTCTTGTTGCCCAGGCTGGAGTACAATGGCGTGATCTCGGCTCACCGCAATCTCCACCTCTGGGGTTCAAGTGATTTTTCTGCCTCAGCCTCCCAAGCAGCTTGGACCACAGCCATTCGCCACCACGTCTGGCTAATTTTGCATTTTTGGTAGAGATGGGGTTTCTCCATGTTGATTAGGCGGGTCTCGAACTCCCTACCTCAGGTAATCCACCCACCTCAGCCTCCCAAAGTGCTGGGATTACAGGCATGAGCCACTGTGCCCGGCCTGTGTTAGACATATTTTTATTTCTCTTGGGTAAATACTTAGGATTGGAATTGCTGAGTTATATAAGTGTATGTCTAACTTTGTCATAAATTGCTAAATTGTTTTTCTTTTTCTTTTTTCCTTTTTTTGGTTTTTTTTTTTTTTTTTTTGAGACAGGGTCTTGCTCTGTCATCCAGGCTGGAGTGCAATGGCACAATCTCGGCTCATTTTAACTTGTGCTTCCTGAGCTCACGTGATCCTTCCACCTCAGCCTCCTGAGTATCTGGGGATTACAGGTACACCACCATGCCCAGCCACTTTTTTTTGTTTTTTATAGAGATACAGTCTTACCATGTTGCACAGGCTGGTCTCGAACTCCTGGGCTCAAGTCATTTGTCGACCTCAGCCTCCCAAAGTGCTGGGATTACAGGTGTGAGCCATCCAGCCTGGCCTAAATTGGTTTTTAAAGTGATGACACCATTTTGCATTCCCACCGGTAAGTTATGATTTCCAGTTGCTCCACATACTTGCCAACATTTGGCATTGTCATTCTTTTCAATTAAAAAAAGTTCCCATCTAACTCATATTTGCATCAAATAACATTTATACAATTACAAATTGTGTCCTAAAACATCCCCTTCCCAGTCTTTGCGGGAGGCAAACATTTCGTCTACTCAATTATTCACTGGTTTGTTGTCATGGAGACTATAGCTGGCCATAAAAGCGGTGCTAAGGGCTGGGCACAGTGGCTCATGCCTGTAATCCCAGGACTTTGGGAGGCTGAGGTGGGCAGACCACCTGAGGTTGGGAGTTCGAGACCAAACTGGCCAACATGGTGAAACCCTGTCTCTACTAAAATTATAAAAATTAGCTGGGCGTGGTAGCAGGTGCCTGTAATCCCAGCTACTCCGGAGGCTGAGGCAGAACTGCTCGAACCTGGGAGATGGAGGGTGCAGTCAGCCAAGATTGTACCACTGCAATATTGGCCCACTCCAGCCTGGGCAACAAAGCAAAACACCTTCTCAAAAAAAAAAAAAAAAAAAAAAGGTGCTAAATGCTCTGTCGGAGTCAGACTAGAGTGTTCAAACCCTGATACTGCCGTTACCAACTGGGTAATGTTGTACAAAGAGGCGACTTGACTGTCAGCCCTTGGAGTCTCAGTTTCCTCATCTGTCAAATGGGAATAATGGTACTACTTACCTCAGTGGGTCATTTTGAGAATAAAATATCAGGGCTTAGGTATGCTGTATATAGACTGTTAATTTCGTTAGTGCAGCCCAATCATTAAGATTTCAAACTGCTGTTTAGGCACTGATTCAAGCATAATTTGAAAATCACCTTTGTTCCACTCTGCCTTGTTCCAAAGATAAAAGAAAGCATATGACTTTAAAAAGGAGATATTGCCCTGTGGGTAGTGGACCCTTTTGAACATGGAATAAAAGGAACTCTGGAATGAGGGTGGACTTTGCTGGTGACTAAAGTCTGGAGAACCCAGTGTGTCCTGGGGCAGGAGGCCAATTCTGGATCAGGAGTAACTGGACCCAGATTCCAGGGCTCCTTCCATTTCTAGATGTGTAGCCTTGAGCAAGCCATTCAATGTCTCTGATTCACTTGGTCAACAAACATAATAACGGGCACATACTGGATGATGAGTCTTGAGTTGAGTGTTAG